ACAAAGGTTTAGCTGCATTGTTTAAAGGACTCTGGGATGCATAATGACAGACTACTATGTCATAGCACTAGGGGAGATGGGGGAGGGGTGGATTAATGAGATTTTACTGAAGGGAGTGTACAAGAAGAGGTGGGGCACGGCTGGAAAATAGAGAGGAAAGAGGGCCACATTAAGCTAATTGGAAGATGAGTGCCTACTTGTAAAAGTGCTTCTAATGGCATATTTGTTTCTCTCACAGCAGCGCAGAGCTAATGCAGGGGAGTGCAGTTGTAAGACTTATAGTAGTAAAGATTATGGGGGCAAGTGTTTGAGAATGTGTGTCAACATACTTTGGATGCTCAGCCTGGACATTTAGTGCTCTTTATCATTGTGATTCTGATATTAATTTCACAGTTTGTCACTTCTTTTAAATTTTTCTTTGATATTTGAACTTTAGCTGACTCTTTGCTGTGAGAGCGCTGTAATGATTTATACCCAGACTTAGTCTATAGCTCTAGATTTTCCTTTAAAACTCAACTGATTGCTGAACAGTCGTGTTTTGTTAGCCTTCCTTCAGATTGGGTAGAAAAAAGCTTTCCATCCTTATTCTTACTACCATCTTATGACACTTTGAGGACAAAAAAACAGAAATATTTGGTTCAGCATGTAGAAATGGTTGGAAATGTGCATCTTGATGTCACATTTAGTCTAAATATGTTAGCAATCTTTATCATGTTTGCATTTGGTTTTTGTTACCTCGAAAAGTATTTAATCCCCTTTAACTCCCACCTTTCAAAGCAATTATTACAGTAAATCTCATGTTTCTATCGCCTCAGCACAACTCAACAAAAAGGAACAAAAGCTTATAGCAGCCTCAGTCTGGATGGAGAGTATCTGACATAGATTCTAAGCTGGATTTAGCTCTGGGCTTTGACTAGGCCAGGGGTCGGAAACCTTTACAATCCAAAGTGTCGTATTTCCTTAAGTCCATTTAAATAAAAGCAGTCGAACCCCCTGCCTTTTAATAAAACCCCTTTTTTTGTGTGAAATAGATGCTATAGAAAATCTGTCGCCATTTTAAACGAGCAACATTTTATTTCACTTTTAGAATAAAGAAAAACAGAAACGGGGAAGCATGGAGTTGTTTTATAGAATAAAACTTGTGAAAAATGGTGTTAAAAACAAGGACACTCAAATCAAAGGACAAATTTAAAGTTTTTCTGTTGTGAAAATTTGGTATAGATTTTTTTTAAAACTGGTAAAACTGGCCACCATTAAAGCAATTGTAGAGAGTCAAAATAGCCACTTGAAAGAAGTAATGCTTCTTCCAAATGTGCACAAATATAATAAATACTCATACATGCAGTTTTACTTAGAACGCACACAAGGTAACGACTCTCAAATTGCATTTTGAACATGTTATGCATGCAGATTCAATGCAATCTAGTCTTTAATGTGCCACGGCCAAGAGCTCATAGTCCTTCTCTTGTGTTTTATGGTCCTGTAGATTCTCTCCTGCTAGTGTGTCGACCTGTTTCTGTGCAGTAATGTCAACTGTCTTTCACTTAAAGCCAGAAACCAATAAAAAAAAACAAAAGAAAAACTGTTGACTACTTTTCATGAAATCCCTCCTCTACTGTTTTCTTTCTGGTTGCAGCTATTACTGTTAACAAAGCCTCTTCAAGAAAATCCTGACTTCGCATTTAAACAGCATCTCTGTCATCAACTGGGAATTTTATAAACACAATGCTGGACAGAAAAGTAAAAACAGTAGCTTAAAAATGACGCTAAAAGTAAATGTAGCCAATCTCAGACAGTTTATTTTATCTGATTGTTTCCTTCGCAAAAATACAAAATTGCTAAGAGACAGGTCCACACCAAGTAGGAGAGAATCTACGGGAGCATAAAAGGCAAGAGAAGGAGCATTAACTCCTGTTGGTGACATATTCAAGGCTCACAGTGTTGCATATGTACTAACTGAACCTTCAAGTTGCATTTTTAGCAGAATTCTGACTTCATAGACGTGAATCAGAAGTCAGAGCTGGTGCTGCAGGTTGCAGGACTAATACTTACTGGACTAAGCTACCCTCACAGAACACAAAAGCTCCAAGTCCATCTTAAATGAAGGCATTCCCACAGCATGATTCCGCCACCATCCTATCAGTCACACGGTGTTTTATATCTAGTTTCAGGTTAAAGGCAGCTCTAATACATTTTTAATGAAAGTTTGAGCTTATTTAAAAATCATGGAGCTTTTTTTTCTTCTACTTATCGAAAGTAAACATTTTATTTTATTTTCATGTGTTATGAAATGGTTCTTTTCTTTTTGGTGTAATGTGATAAAATGTGAAGAAGTTTGAGGGATATATTTCCAAGACCTTGTCCCTGTTATTGAGAATTATTCTGTACCATCTTTTACCAGAAACTGAAATGTTTTCAATTCAGAGTCCTTACTAAAGAACCAAGTCTGTTTTTGAGTAAGACTGGTGACTTTATTGTGTTTGAAAAATATAAAAAGGTCATTTTTAATCTCCCTTATGTAAAAAGAAAGACTGCTGCTCTTAGAATCAAAAAAAAAAAAAAAAAAAACAGTTTTCAGATGTAGTGAAACTTTTCAAAGATTCACTTTTTAATTAACTTTCATTATTTTGTTTCAATTAAAACAAATGGAAGTGCTAATGCCTGCATGGCCATGCAGTATGAAATAATGGGGTCCAGGCTTGAATTTAAAGTCATACCTCCAGGCTAAAACTCCAGAGCGCTCACAGAATGAAAGTGTAAAATGTTTTTTAATGTATATTTAACAACAAATACCCCAGTGACTATTGATGTTTCGTCTCAGAAGAATCTATTTCTCTGGTATATCTAAAAGGCATGATATGAAACCACTCACTTTTATTTCTTTTTCTGTTTTCTTCCTCTGAGTGTCTCCAATAGTATCTCTCCCTCTCTTTCTCTCCCCCCTTTCCCCCCGCTGTCTCTCTTTAAACATTTATCTTCTGTTTTCTCCTTACAGGCCCTTTGTGCTTTTGTGATGTTGGTTTTTACAGCTTTCTGCGCACCACAGTTGCCATTTATCTTTTATAGATGCCAGCAGCAAGGAGCACATAAGAAATGCTACCATTTCAGCATGACTAATTGTCATCGCTCTGCGTTGCTCCCTTGATGTCACTCGCTCCCGCTCCCCTGAGGGCGTGCAGTGTGTGAACCGCAGTATTTACACTGTACATTTCCATTTTGTTCACATAAATACTCCAGCTCTGAATATTATCCTCAGTTACAGCGTGTTGGTGGGGTTTGTGAACTCATCTGCCAGCAGCAATCTGAAACTGGTGAAGATATAGGGCCCCTGAAGAGGATAAAAGTATATCAATATATAATCTTCACCTAAACTAAGGTCCTTTCCCGTAGAATCCCTTTATCATCTCTTTATGCTTGATGATGAACACATATTTGCAAGGACTCTATTTTTCTTTCTTTAAAGCTATTTATTGCATATCTCTATAGATGCCAGCTAACATTCCTGTTTTAGAATTGTTGCCAAAGTCTCATTCATTAAACAGATCAATGTAGAAGCTCCTGATATCGGGGCTTAGTTTATCTTGTTGCACCAGCTTTTACTAGGGTATTATTTATTGTAGTGAAATATTTAACAATTCATGGAACTGAACTGTCCTAAAAATTTTGAAATTTAACTTAAGAAAATGTTTTTATCTTAAAGCTTTGTACTACATTCTGGCTCTATCTTTTTAGGTCTGGATCCGAGTTTCTGCCAGCTTTCTTTTATGAAAAACATTTTTGAGAGCACTGATCAAACCAAATAACTAATGTTTTAACCATTAGAAACTATTTAAATGGTAAGCGAAATATGCTTTTATAGCGCTTTTTTAAGTCAGGGAACTTTAAAGTACCCTACTCTACATTCAGGGAGGTCTTCCTCTCCACGATCGCTACGAGCATGCCTAGTTTGAGGGATTGCATTCGAGTCAGTGAATTTATGCATTCAATATTTTTCCTTAGTAAGGAAACTTTGAATCAATTTGACTTTGTGAATTGGCGCTATATAGATAAACCGAACTGAATTGAATTGAAATTCAGTCATTCACACCCAATGAATGTAGCCACGGCTCCCATGAGGACAGAAGCAAGGCTGTCATACACCATTGCAGGCTATGCAATTTAATAATTTGCAGAAGTTTATAAGCAGATCACAAAAAGTAACTCTTAAGGGTCAGCTGTTAAAGATGGCGTAAAGTGTGCAAATTTGAATGTGGTGCAAAATATCACACAGACAACTATATTTTGTAAGAAAAAAATAAGATTGGCTTCAAAATTTCCCAAATCGTAAAAATACAAAACTCTGAAGGGCAGAAAAAGTCTCTCCTTTAGCAGGTGCAACAACAATAGCTTCCATGCAGTTATTATTAAACAACAATTTAGCCAAAATGGGAGCGTTTATGATGGACATGGTTGTATAAATGCGCTAAACCCTAAAATGCATAAAGGGTGTTATCTTTCACCAAGTCTTGATAAGCACCTATCTTAAAAACATAAAAGCAGCTAAACTTGGTCATCATAAAATATAATCTTTACAATGACAATAAATTAAATTCTTTCAAATCCCGTAGTTATTTGACAAGTCATTACTTAAGAAAATTCCTTGTTCTATAATTATTTTATTCTAGTTATTAACTCACGTAATTTTGTCATCTATACAGTTTTACATAGAGAGCACTTTAGATGAATTCCTGACATTTCAAAAGAGGGGTAAACACAGTATAGTTTTGATTTAATTTGCCATCTGCAGGCTAATCAACACTAGAATGATAGCAATTGTTGAGCAGCAGGTTTTTGAAAAAGGTTATCAAGGGTTGCTCCAGGGGACATCTGAGTATTGTGAAAGGGGAAAAAAACAAACACTTTACCACTGCTCTTTCTTTTCTTTCTACCAGACTGATTATTCACAATCAATAACAGTCTGTATCTTCTCTTTTGTCTCTCGTCTCTTCTGGGACATTTAGGATGCTGCAGGCAAGGTTTTGGACCGCTGGACCATCATGTCCCGTGAAGAAGAGATCATCACCCTGCAGCAGTTTCTGCGCTTTGGTGAGACCAAGTCCATCGTAGAGCTGATGGCTATTCAGGAGAAAGAAGGTCAGGCAGTTACAGTTCCCTCGTCAAAGACAGACTCTGGGATAAGGACATTCATCGAAAGTAATAACAGAACCCGCAGCCCAGGGCTCTTAACACATCTGGAAAACAGCAGCCCCTCCAGCATTCATCATTTTGAGAATATCCCCAACAGCTTAGCCTTCCTTCTACCATTCCAGTATATCAACCCAGTTTCTGCTCCCATGCTTGGCTTGCCCCCTAATGGCCTCCCAATGGAGCAGTCTGCCCTTCGGCTTCGGGAGCCCAACCTTCCAAACCAGGGAGATCATGTGGAGACTAGTGAATCAGAGGTGTCACTGTCACCTTTCCGCACCGGTCAGAGTCCTAGTCGTGGAGTACTGGGAGCCATTAACAACACTGAACCCAAGACAGAACCCAACAGCTGTGCATCACCCATCTCCCCGACACCATCCACCCAGCAAGCTCAGCAGCAAACATCGCTCCAGCAGCCACAGCAACCGCAGCAAGGCCAACAACAGTCCCAAAATCAGTCCCAACAACCCAACAGTTTGAGCGAACATCAGGTGCATCACCACTTTGTTAAGGATGAGCCCTCTAAAACCATCAGCCACCCTTCTTTCTCCTCGAAGATGCATCGTATACGCCGCATGGGAGCTACCTCACGCAAAGGCCGTGTGTGTTGCAATGCATGTGGAAAGACCTTTTATGATAAAGGCACGCTTAAGATACACTATAATGCTGTACACTTGAAGATTAAGCACCGTTGCACCATAGAGGGATGCAATATGGTCTTTAGCTCACTGCGCAGTCGGAACCGCCACAGTGCCAATCCCAATCCAAGGTTGCACATGCCTATGCTGCGCAATAACCGTGACAAGGACCTTATTCGTGCCAATTCTACCACAGGTACACCTGTCATATCAAGCAGCAAGAATGGTGGCTTTACACTCACCAGCCCTGGAAGGCCACCACTTGGCTTCACTACTCCCCCAGTAGACCCTATGCTTCAGTCTCCGCTGCAGAGTCCCCTAGTGTTTCCGTCACTGAAGTCAGTGCAGCCAGTCCAACCAGTGCCACCATTCTACCGAACACTTGTGTCTCCGGCAGACCTCGTCAGCCCTCCAGTGTCACTGCCAACGAGCCCCATAATGCCCACCACTACTAACAGCACTACCCTAATGGACCAGCAACAGCAGATCTTGGCCGCTGTTGTCTCACATAATAATGTTCATATGTCAGAAGCAAGTTCGATGTCCCATCGGCTTCACTCTGGTACCAGTCAGGACCTCACTACAAACAGTGACCCCACACCTAAAAAGAAACCCCGTAAATCTAGCATGCCAGTTAAGATTGAGAAGGAAGTGATTGATGTTGCAGATGATTTTGAGGACAAAGATGAAGATGATGATGACAGCATCCACCACAATCACCAGTCGAGTCTTCTTCACAACAACATCAAGATCAACGGCAACTGCAACAACAATGGTGCAAGTGGCCCTGGACACCACAGCGGTGGCAGTGGCCAGCAATCCCCCTCCCAGGATGAGATGAGCCCTGGCTTAGCCCTTAGAGGTATGATGAGGCAAAGTGAGGATGAATGTAGGGAGGGAACTGGTAGTGACAGCAGAGGGGGTGCTTCAGAGCTGCGTTGTATGGACAGCTTTACCTCGGAAGACCAGGATCATGAAAGAGACTTTGAGAATGAGTCTGAAACATCAGATTCCAAGATGTTCTACCGAGATGATCTGATGGACGGGGAAGAACATCAGAAGCACACTAGGGGAGGAAGGGGTCTGGACAAGGAGCATGAAAACGAGGCACACGAGGAAGAACACTTGAGGAAAGACATAGAGGGAAACGGTCATTCTTCACCATCACCTCACCAGCCTCCAATCAAGATTAAAGAAGAACTCAATGATCCGACATATGACATGTTTTGCATGAGCCAGTATGGCCTCTATAACGGGGGCATGGCAGCAGCAGCTGCTGCCGCCGCAAGCATGGCTGCTCTACACGAGAGCTTCATTTCTTCAATGGGATACGGTGCCAGCCCACCCAAATTCCCTACATCTCAGTCGCCTGAAGGAGACCCATGTTCCAGCCCAGACCCCAAGATCTGCTATGTATGTAAGAAGAGCTTCAAGAGCTCCTATAGCATGAAACTGCACTACAAGAATGTGCACCTGAAAGAGATGCATGTGTGTACTGTGGCAGGCTGCAACGCTGCTTTCCCATCCCGACGGAGCAGAGACAGGTGAGTGCTACAGGTTTGCAAGTAACCATCTAATTTTAATGTATCTGATTTGTTTGATTTACGATTTAATCAGTTTCTATTACCATGCATTTATATGCGGTATGCATGAGGTTCTATATATTTCATTATGAGCCTTATTTGAGTTAAAAAAACTAAAAAGATTTAAGTAATGACATCTTTTAAAATGTTTTACGGTTGTCTGGGGAAACAGTTTTCCAGGCTTTCTAGAGGCAATCGGAGGTGTTTTATTTGCATTCCGAACTCAAAAATTTTCCATAAAGTCCTGGTATTATATTATACTTAAGGTTAGATTTGCTCTTCATTAAGGCCAAACTCTAACTGATGAATAATTCAAATTAAGGTTCCTAAACTCAAAGGCTAGTGTTGCTCCGTCACATAATAAACAAATTAAAGAGCAAAGAGAAGTTATGTTTTCATGTGTTCAGCTCCATAACGTGCCAAAGTTAACAGGTTTGAGGCATTAAATAATATTTCTACTTCTACAACACTATTTCTAGTCAACCATTTGCCAAACATTTTGGGATTATGGGGCTGCACATGTACACCGTGTTCTCATTAAATTGTAAAAAAAAAAAAAAAAAAAAAAAAAACTAAATGGTTAGGGGGTAAAAGAGTGCAGACACAAAATCTCCTTTTGTACCTTGAATTATTTTCCTTTATATTTAATCTTTAATAATATATGAAGTGCCCTAAACAAATATTGAAAGCCCTGGTATTAGGTAGTACTCTTATCTCCCTACTTCGTCCTTAGATAAACTTGGATCATCTGTGTCAGAATTAGTTGTACATTTTTTACATTTTTAAAGAATTGGACTAGTAACCATTTTCTGAGTGTCTCTTTTTGCCTGATTTATGTAGATCAACGCATTTGCACATTCTGCTGTCTTTCCCATTCAGATGGCACGTAGGAAATAGTCTTTATCATATCATTATCCCAGGATATATAATAAATTAATAAAGCAATAATAACCAATCCCTCCCTAGTCACAGTTGAGAACCCAAGTAAGTAATATTTGAGCAAAGCTTGGTGTATAAATGATAAGGAGTGCATGTTTTCTAATACTTTATAGATAATAGAGGTAATGAAAGTTGTTACACCAATAATTTTCTCCAAATTAAATATTTTTTAACCATGTGATCTCCATCAGGTTTAAATAATGAACTGCTTTTAAGGAGTTGTCCTCATCTTTAACAGAGTGCTTATGATTGTGAAGGGCACTGTAGGCTATTGATAAACAGAAAAAAAGTAACTTTGACTCTAAAAAGACTTCAGATTAAGAAATAAATATGAACAAAAGAACAGTTTAAAAATCCATCCTAGTCAAATTAAAACTTTGATTGCCTTCTATTGAACTACTAATTAGGAATTATAAAATATTAGATCAAAGTGGGGCTCCTTAGATGAAACGTATAGAAAAAAATATAAGAGTGACTCTGGACTTTTGCACGGTGGCTCTTTATCTTAAGGAACAGAATTTAACTTTCAGTTTCCTGTTAACTTTTTCTAGATAAGTTAACAGTTACCATCTGTTAGCTAATAAGAAATTAAAAAGGTACTCAGGGACATCTGCTCTGTGTCAAGTAGATGTTCAGAAGACCAGAGTGCGATGTAGAGAAACACACACACACACTCATTTAAAAATACACTTCAAGCCTGCAGCTGCAGCGTGTTGTTTACCTGCCCTCACTGCCTCACCTTTGAACGGTGAAATCAAGGCGCATACATTAACATTGACAGCGGTTTGTCAAACCGCTGCATTTATTAGCGCATTAAGAGGTGATGTGAGCCGTACTCACCTGGGCTTGTTAGCACGTACCCCAATCTGCACAGCATATATGTTTGCCGGAGCAACACCAATGTCACAACACATGCTAGGGCCCATGCTTAGAGCATGACATGTTAAAAACCAGCGTCTTTAACTTATCTGATCTGCTATATATTTTTTACTTTTTTTTTTTTTTTGACAGGTGAAAAATTATTTTTCTCTCAGTGGCAATTACACCCTTCCTCCACTTCTTCCTCACCTGTTCACCTCCTCAAACTTTTCGACTTTGTTTGTTTTTGTGGCATCTGTTTCTAAAACTGGCTGCTTTTAATCGCAGCATCAGAGCTGTTGGTTGTGGATGAGATGAGAGCAGACGGAGAAGTGAGCACAGCTCTCCATGGCATGCACTGCCTCACTGTGGTGCATTGCCACCAGTAACACCATTAGCTCCCCTCTTTCCAGCAGGCTTTACAAACAGACAGCTTGTACAAACATGTTCACTATTAATCAATATAAATATATATTCTATTTGCCTCTGAATTTTTTTATTTGCAATATAATTAGAGAATAACCTTTTCTTTTATAACTGTTAGTTATTTTCTTTTTATTCTTTCACGTTTCAACTTCATATCTTTAAAAAAAACGACAATTTAAGGTGTTGAAACAATAATAAGAATAATGGGTAAAAAGTAATGTCTGCAAGGTGCAGAAACTGCCGTTTTTGATCAGGGAGCCACTAAATGATTACAGCACTGAGTCAGTGTGAATGTGCATGGACAGTTTATCTCAGTTTATTAAAACACATCTGCTAGAAAGAGAGAATATTATGCTGATAATGATCCGTGGTCTTGAGTTTTGCAGTGCAGGTTCAAACAGGAAACAAAACAAAAAAAAGCAGAAGAGCCAAGCTGGAGAAATCCCGAGGCTTTGAGACGAGTCAATACACGAGCTGCGCTCTCATCAGATCTGTCCCCGGATAATCCTTTAATGCCATAATGTGTATCTGAGTGTAATGGAAGCAATAAAATGGGAATATAATTTAGCTGTTTTCATCAGACCATCTTCTCTGATAAGACTAAGTAGCGTTGTTCATATTTATTTGTAGAAACTACTGTTAAAGTGTTGACTCTTTGTAGATTTACAAATTCAACCCATTTTTTTCCTTCTAATCAGATGTTTTTTGGATGACGTTTTATCTAGTAATTGCATATTTAGCATAACCAAAAATCCTTGAATAAGGAAATTATCTTTTGCAGCATTATTTAGCTTGAAACATGAGATTTCATGCTTGCATATATTACTATCAAAGTTGTTTGCAAATCTGAGTCGTTCCAAAGACCGAGGGAAAACAGGAAGGCACAAAAACACAGGATCAAAATGACATAGTAGGTTAGCAGACAATGAATAAATTACTCCATCTTGGAACCACGTATCGCTCCGTTTGGATGTCTGCTCTGTTGATAAATAAACAGCAGATTTCACACTGTAAAACATCTGTGCACACTGTAATACACTCGCCCAGAAAAGGATCGTGTAATGTGCCCTTGAGCAAGCTTGTAATGTGAGGGTTTTAAATGTGAAACAGAGCAAATGAAATTAAAGTTTTTACTTTACAATGCTGTCTTTACCATACCTCCTGGTGTGAAAATACATGGCTGCGTATTTATTTAGGGGTCAAAAGTAGTAAGGAAGAGGCTGTGCTGTAAACTTTGGCTTGATTTCCTTCTTTAGAGACATTAATATCTCAGATCTCTTTTTACCCTTCACCTAGAAGAAGTTAAACCTGTCTGTGGCTCTGCAGTGAGCAGGTGTCCTCCCTCTGCCACATTCCCACGACGCAGCCGTGCGCAGCCCGCGGTCCCTGCATGGGCCACTGCAAATGGAGAGAGTGAAGGTTAATTATGTTGGAAAGTCTCTTTCCCTCCCCTTCTCCTTCCTCTTTCCATCGTTTCCCTCGGTCCCCTCATGGCATGTGGGCCTGGCTCTTCTGCTGCACAGTCAGCTCTGAGTTTGTGCCTTCTAAACAAAGAGCACGCTCCAAATAGAGAGAATATGTTAGCAAAAGCCACTCAAAACATCTTGTTAACTAAAAGACAAGAACTCAAACTCTCACATCTCTTCATCTTTACTTGCTTAACTGATTAATCTGAAAGAGAATAAGGAATACATCCTTATTCTTAGATGAATAAACATATGGAAACCCATTCTTTTTTGCATTTTTAATGCTCCATTTAATATGAAGTTTATGCTGTTTTGCAAAGTTTAAACAATGGCGAGCAGATGTAGCAGCAGCAGCAGAGTGATAAATGTGGGTAAAATCCATGTCCTCCCACTCACCTAAAAGCTCATAACCCACTCCGAACGACAGGGAAGACAAAGGACCGCCGGTGTCAGTTCGATACCTCACAGTGCTCCATCTCATTTACACATTACGAGCCATTTAGACAATATAAGCACATTTAGGTATGTATCCGTGCACATTCACACTGACACAGAAACAAGGGCAAGGGCCATCAGATGAACCTAAAGATGATTAACGGCGACTGGGACAGGCTCGCTCTGGCTCTGCCTCCTCTGCACAGTCGAAACGGGCTCTCCGGAGGCCTCCCCCGTCTTTTGGGCGAAGATGAGACTGTCAAATTGGTTTGCCAGCCACATTACTGGCCAGCAGGGAGGTACTGGAGAGAGGCGGGGGAGTCGAAGATGAAGCATAGTGAAGAGGAGTGATGGAGGTGGAGGAACGGAGGGGAGTGGGAAATGGGGCAGAGAATCTAAATCTGATAAATGAAGAGAAGAGGCCATAATGTCCTCAGCGTGTGGACTCTGTTTAGTTATTCTGATTGGTGAAGACACACACGTTCAATAATGTTCATTAAAATGACAACAAGCTGGGCTTTTTTTTTTTTTTTTTGGTCTCTTTCTTAATTTTGTGAAGCTATTTCATTATTAATCATCTTCAAATTTAACGATACAGTAAATCTTGTTTGATTTTTATCTATGTGAAGAAAATTAAACCAGGCTTTTCCCCCCTTTTTATCTGAATAATGTGTTTTCCTAACAATAAGGTTTGCATTTTGATTCTTTGAAAGGGATTTTAGCTAATCTACAGACTTTTTATTCCTTAAAATTTAGCTTTTTTGAATTAAGCAGATAGTCATGATTAATTTAGAGCTTATTAGCAGTGAAAGGTGTTGTTTCGTTTTAGACATGGAGATGTGTTGCAAAGGACCTGCCTACCTGAGCATCATTACCAGCAATTTCGACAAAACACACACTATTCAATCCCCTTATGTGCTTTAGCAGAAACTGATCATTCTTACATTCAGGTTGTTATTTTTTCAGTGCTTTAACCCACCTAGAAACCCTCAGAGCAGCACATATTTGACCTGAATTCAGCCAGAAAATAATGACTCCATCGCTGCATGCATAAGTTTTCACCACACTTTTCTTAGCTCATATTGACAGATGAAGAACAACACACCAAAAAGTAAAATATTGTCAGTTTTCTACTGAAACAATTAGACACACGGTGCAAACGCAAACATGCAGCGACAGCCACGGCCGATCGATTCGCCACGTTACCCCCTCCCCTTCCCACAATGCTGACGATGCTCGAGTGGACGGGCTCCTGGTTGCTTGCCTCACAGAAAAGGGTCCCTGAAATGAATGTATTTTTACCTCTTGCAGGACAATGTCGGATAGGGAAGTAAATAATTAAAGGAAAGGGACCCTTTTTGACTGCATCAACCCTGCCACTGCTGGTAAGCTCTACAATCCATTGTGACTCCATTTTTGCCCATCCTGCCGAGGATGATCTTATTCTTTTCCTTTTTTTTTTGTTGTGTTTTACACATATGTGCCCTCCCTGCATGGAAACCCTTCACATTAAAAGGCGCCGAGTGTTTTTGCACATTCTGCTGAGAGGAACAGGCCCTCTGCACATTGACTGCTTAAGTTTCCTTTCTGTGTTATGCAGTTTTTATTGTGACATGTGTAACGTAGCCCCCCCGCCCCACCTTTTTTTTGAAGTGCTCTTTGGCAGCTGTGAAATTTGAGTTAGAAAAATAAAAAAAGCTTATACCCTTCTCTGTTTAGCATGGCTTTGTCTGCTATAGCTCAGACGTCACTAATTGTGTCCTGCCTTCAGCATGGTTTGTTGCTGTGTTTCTTTTTCAGCTGGAGAACATTATGTGATACAGTTGGAGCTTGTGTTTAGGAACAAAAATGGCCATTTTAATTAATTCCAGTCTAGCAATGAAGACGCGTTCGTCGAGGTGCTCAATTAGGCCACCTCTAAATAGCGAGCCGATGTGATAATGCTGTCAGGGCCTTGTGCTAATATGCTATCCAGTTCCCCTCGATTATCACATTACCACTGCTTAAATCAATTGATAAACTCCCATTCAATACAGTGGACTATTTAATTGAGTCAGAGTCTATTGGATTTGAGGGCTGTGCAGAGCAGACATGCTGACGGTGGTAAACATTAGCAGAATGCTCTGCCTTCTTCATACTGAGCTCTCTGATCCTGAACCTGAAATAATTGAAACAATAATTATAGTATTACTGGAATAAATTACTTAACATAATATGAATCCATGTGCAATACTGTTAAAAAATGTTGAGTCATCAATCAATTTGTTTTATGAATTTCTATTCCAACAGTCAAACTTTTTTAACTTGTTGTCTATGTGAAACGGTTTCCTTAAAAATGTAGCGCCGACAGAAATTATTCACAACTTCACGCTTTTCCGCACGCAGTTACATTACAGACTTATTCTGAAGCAAGATGAGAGTTTTATTTTAAGAAAAGTAAGAATCCACACATAAATATTCCAACACAGTAAAGTAAAAAGCTGTTTTTTGTACATTTTCTTGTAGAAATGTATTGATTTACATATTTTACATTAGAATTCATACCCATGACTCAGTATTTTGTCAAAGCACCTTCAGCAGCAACAATGCCTCGGGTCGTCTGTGTGAGCCTGGTACGCTTGTTTATGGGTTTTATTTGCCACCTTCTGATCCTCTCAACCAGTCATCCATTGGGAGACAGATGGGTGACAGGTTTTTTAGATCTTTCTAGAGCTTTAAACAGGGCTGGGGAGTTTAGGGACCACTCCAAGATCCCTCCTTTGATAAGACTGGCTGTTTACCTGCAATCTATTCAGACCAGTAGCCATTCATGGAGAGGAAATACTTCCAGTTATTCAAGCAGCAAGTAAATCTTTAAAAGACTGCAAAAATGCGTGGAAGTAACATAGAGAATAGGGGTGAATCAACATGTTTGCATAGAACCAGGTTTAAAAATGTTACATTTTTAATGATATTGTTGATAATTTGATGCACACAGACTCCTGATGTACAACTGTGACTGTCTCTTCCCATCAGGCACAGCTCGAACATCAACCTGCACCGCAAACTGCTGACCAAAGAGCTGGACGACATTGTCCTCGACCCTCAACTCACGCCACTGCCCAAGGACCTGCGAGCAGAGTTTCTGGCCAAGCTCTACAGCGGACATCACATGGGTTTGGACCCGATGGCCAGGATGGGTTTCCGGGGCGCCGGCCTCGGGCTCCCAGGTCTGAACCATAATTCCCTCTCCCACATGAGCAACGAATATCCCCGTCATCCTTTTCACCACGACCTTAGAAACCATCACTCCAACGGCCTGTTCCGGGGCCAGCCGGACGACTACATGGTGCTGGACCTGAGCACCACCTCTAGTGTTCAGTCCAGCAGCAGCATCCACTCCTCACGTGAGTCAGAAGACGGCAGCGACGAAGGCATCCTGTTGGATGACCTCGAAGAGGAGGGAGAAGAGGATGAGGAGGATGGCAACAGTGAGGGAGAGGACCTCTCCCGGCGTGGAGAGAGGCGAGCTGAAGGGGGACATCGGGATGAGACTGGAGAATTCAAAGAAGGACCAGATGAGGGCTTGGACTCTACCTCATCGACATTCCTTCTATCATCCACTGGGGGCAGTAATGGCAGCAGCGGTGGGATCCTCTGTAACATCTGCCACAAAGTATACAGCAACAAAGGGACCCTGCGCGTGCACTATAAGACTGTGCACCTACGCGAGATGCACAAGTGCAAAATCCCCGGCTGCAACATGGTGTTCAGCTCCGTGCGAAGCCGGAACCGACACTCTCAGAACCCAAACCTCCATAAAAACATGCCCTTCTCTACGATATTAGACTAAACCAAGACTTCTCAGACCTCCCGTCTCCTCCGTTTCCTCATCCTTGTCTCCTGCCCCGTCCTTTGTAAGTCACTCCATGTAAAAAAAAAACAAAAAAAACAATTGACTCTAGATGAAGTTTATCATTGTGTCTTTTGACTTTTCCTTCTTTGGAAGAAAAGGCTGATGCCAACAGGCACGAAGTTTGCTTCAAAATGAAAACTCTAGGTAATTTTACTCATTAGGCCCTCCACCTTTTTTTTTTCTATCTTCAACTCTCTTTGTGTTTACGTCCATGTCCAAAGAATCTGTTAAAACTCTTTATTTGTGACTTGCCTGCGGAAACAATAGTACTAAAAAAAAAGAGAGAAAAACTTCTTGTTGTATTTGTGTAACAATAACTTTTAAATGGACCCCTTACAAAAGCATGACAGCTCCATTTGTAAATAATGTCCCCAGAGGCTTTTTTTTGTTTTGTTTTTTGTTGTGTTGATGGTTGTTTGCCTACTTTTCCTCTCTTTATTGGATTTATGTTACAGTACAGTACAATACTTCCATCTATAGGCAAGAAAGAGGTAGCATCCTTCAAGTGTGACTCATTTATGTTCAATTTTAACTGATTCACGGGGAAAAAAGAAAAAAACAAGATCATGTGAATTGTATCAACTGCTTGTTAGATGTTCGGAGGTTACCGGCATGCTTTTTATTTTAAGCTCTTACACTGATTTCATTCTCCGTATTTTATGTTTTTTCTTTTTTTTTCTTTTTTTGCTTTACTAATCCATTTCAGTTTTTGCACTTTGCATCTATAAAAGGGGGATGTGTAATATTGTTATAAGGATATCTGCAATGTTGGATTTGGGTGATCGGGGAGGGTGAGCGGTGGCTTCATTGCTGAGAGAAGCAAACTTTTTCTTTTTGCATGTGCTCAGTTTCAAAGCCTCTAATTGAAAACCAAAAATATTTCTTTATTCCTCCATCACGTATTCTAAGAAAATCCAGATCTTAACTAAATTGTTTGTCCTTTTAACTAAAACGGAGTTAACTGGAAGGGGTTGGTATCTTGTTTGAGAACTAATTGATGTTTGTCTTAGTGAAGGCATCTTTAAAAATATGAGCACTTCACGGGTTTAATACAGAGATGAATCCCTCCTCAACTGTGACCAAAATGCATGAGTTTCCTTAAAAAAAAACCCATCAGCATTGTCTCTGAATCTTGAACCAATATAACCAATATGATGCACTTGAGTCTTAAAACATCAACTGTGATTTTCTGCTGCAGGTTTTCACTGCTGAACTCCACCCTCACATATATTTTGCCAAATTTCTTGCAATTTTCCCTCTTTTGGTTGCAAAGAATCACTCACGGTACACATGTTTTTATTGATTAGAGAAGTAGCCGAGGGAAAGGGTATTTATTAGTGGGTGATGTATCTTCACAAAAATGTTCTCGTCCAGTAAAAGGATTTTTTTTTTTAAATAAAAAGACAAAAAAGACTCATATGTCTTTTTACTCTACAAGATCCATTCTTAGTGGACTGGTGCTACACACAGCAGTGGGAAATACGCAGCCTTATGCAGTAGAGTATTAACACCTTACATCCATAACAGTGTTGAATTCCACTTTTCTACACTTTAGCCATCCTGCTGCACAGACATAACCGCTTCCAGTGAAATATCTCCTGTTTTTTTGAAGACTCCACCTACAGGACACATGTGGTCTTTCTGAGCCCTCTTTTCTCTGAGATAAAGAGGAGCTGAGGATGATGGAAAGGCTGCGGAGGTGGAAGGCTGACTAGGGAGGAAAGGATGACAGCAGCGATCATTAAAAATGTGCTGCTTCCCTGTTACCTGGAGGCATCCCGCCATTCCAGCTTCCTCTGTCTAATAACTCACTTGTCACTTTGTTACACTGCCAGACGTCAAGGTTGCTGACAAGACTGTGACACTGACAGAAGGAGAAAAGCCAGGGAAGAGAGTGCCCGCCAAACAATTTAATTCCGCGCCGTCAATTAAGTGGAATTCAGTTCATCTCTTCATTTTCTGTACGCTTACTCTCCTTTAGGGTCTGTATTAATTTATTTCAGTTCTTTTCCCTTTTTTTTTTCCTTCCCCTTTGTCCGTCAGAGCAGTCATTTAACTACCTTTGTACCCATTTCTTCATCCTGCTACTCACTTACCACCTCCACATGCTGCAATGCAAATCCTACAGGGACACACGCTAATAGTGTATGCTTAAGTTCACCGGACGGCCATGGCATAGCAAAAAGGGATGGGTAATTGCCTGTTTATCCCAAGTGAAGGGAAAATTAAGTACAGGAACCTCTGCCTTCTCCCAGGAGTGAGCTTCAGTGAGGCTAGCTGCCTCGTTCACTCATCGGATCCCTTCGGCCTTCACTCCAGCTGAAATAGAGAAAGTGCCTCTGCAGGAACCCTGCTGACAGCTGTCTCTTCAGCACAGAAACACTCGGATAGGCAGACGTGCAGAAGAACGACCGTCCCTAGACAATATGCTAAACTGTAGTTGGAGGAAAGACAAATGTTCTCGTCATTGTTTTCAGTAATAATGTCACTTTGAAAAGCTGAGTTTCCATCACAGAAAAGCAGCAAAGCCAGAAATAAATCAGTCATAAAAACAGGATAGGAAATGTTTTACCTTCAAACCTTTATAAAGTGTTTCACGCTCACATTTTTCCTCTAAAGAGAAAAATCAATATTTTCCGAGGATTTTTGAAGTGAGGTTTTACAGTCCCCTGCTAAGCCAACTTTAAAACGCCAAAAAAGAGTTTAAAGGGGTACAGTTCATGTTAAACCAAATGTAGTAGTTTAGATTTCTAACTCTAAATCATCGGATCAGCTCCAAGCATTTGCAGAAATACTCCTTTGATTAGTAAAACACTAATGCTAATGTTAGCATCATTAGCAGCTAACGGTTAGAGAGTCGCAGTATTTCCCAGCCTTCAAATTCTTCGACCGAAGTCTCTGCTCACTTTATTTGATTCAGATATCCAAAAAGCAGCTTTACAGTTTAGAGGTAACCATGTGCTGATCCGGAGGGAGCTGCCGCCATTAATAGCTACATCAGGATAAAGCCGTTAGTGCACTGTACGATTTTTTGCCCTTTTTGGGCCGACTATCCAGTCGTGTGAGAATTTTTCAATCGGGCCGACTTTCAGCCTGATCTTGCCACATGTACAGTACAGGGGGGTAACGAGAGGCGATCAGCCTCTCAATGACCTCCAGATCAAGAATCGTAAGGTGTTTGAAATTCAGTTGGCCGTCGTAAGGTGGTCGTGGACAAATCACTCAGTGCGCAAACGAGGATTCTTCCTCTTACTGGTAGATGAAAACACAGAAGCATGGCGGGATGCAAGTCAAATTGAGTTCTTTCTGTAAAATTGACCGACCGTAGTAGTTACATTTGCTCAGCCATGTACTTTTTCCAAATGCGTCGCCGCCTTTTTTTTTTAGGGCTTTCAGCACAAAATCGCACAAATTGCCAAAAGCAGCACGTTTTAATCTAGTGAGCTTCATATTACTCTTCTACGCGATTGGCTTCTGCATAGATGAGTCCAAGTAGCGCCATCTCACTCGTCATGGTTGAGTACGACGTAGTTTTTAGATGTCCAGTGTGAGCAGGTAGATCGCATCAGAGCATCGCACAGTGTGAGATCAAACATCCTGAGCTGTGAACTTTTAAACCCTGCAGTTTTGTCGTACAGTTTGAGCTGTAGCTGTTCGCAATTTTTTCAATCGTACAGTGTATGCCTGGCTTTAGATTCTTATACTTGCAGAAATCACATCGGCCTAAATAGACACTTTAAAATGTAAGGCTAGTAATAGAATCACCTGTTTAGTCACAAATGTTCAGTTTCGATTATTATTTCGTATTGTGACATCTAGTTATCTCTCTTAACCTCGTATTGTTTAAATCTAAATTGGCTTGGATCAACTAAAAGCTAACACAACACACTTTTTCAAAGTGTCGATAAACATTCTCCAACCTACTTAAACACCGTTTAATGGAGGGCTGATGCGTTGTTGTGTGCAGCATGTTATTTCTGGACGTGATGCTTTTGATGCAACCGTGCAAAAAAACAAGTCTGGTTTCTTGCCTTTTCTCATTGCACATTAGCATCACTCATTACTCTTTAAGGGTTTCCCAATACTGTACCAATATTTCAAACTCAATATTAATAACCAGGAAATTATTTGATACCCTTTACTATTTTTTGATTCCATGGGGATAAAAAAATAAATTATTTAAGGTATTGAAAAATACATTTTAATAACATGGAAAAAAAAAAAAACTTTTTAAATCTCCATATATAGAACGCTTTCTTAAGAAATTCATAGATGTTGGTTAAATAAGTGTACAAATAAATGCAAAGTTAATTCCCCAAAATATGACTAAACCCAAAGGTTTGTTGAGGCATTATTCTTTTAATATGCAAATAAACCCTGAATCTGAAATTGATGATAGCAAAAATCACTTGTCTTTAATATCGATACTTTTCCGAATTAGGATTGGATTGAGATATGGCATGTGGTTATAAAACTTGATATTTTTGAAAATAGTGATGCTCATTTATTAAAAATAAAAAGCTGCTTTACTGAAGACTGTTCCAAAGCAGACTTTTTCTCATTTAGTGTCTGACAACTCATATAATCAAATCCAGCAACAGGAGGGACCTTAAATAATTTTAAAAGGATTCTGAACTTCTTTTTTTGTAAAATATACTGTCCAGAAGTAGCTCTTTTTTGCCACTTTGAGTATCAAAACCATATTCTCTCTTCATTTTGAACTAAAACGCTTCACAGGTTTCATTCTTTGGAAGCATTTATCCCTAAAGGATTGCATTTTTTTTCTCTTGATACATGTGAAGACAGTTAAAAAGCCTAAAAAAATGACATCCTCACAATATGCTGTGACATTTTTTTGGAGCAGGCCTCACTCTGATTAGCTGCTACCATCAGCCTCCAGGACAAACTAATCAGGGCTTTTACAAAATGCGGCCGCTAAGAGATTTTTTCATTTTTTTTTCTGATTTAAAATGCTTTAAGATTTTGACAGACCCTCGGCTCTAATGATCCTCCGAGATTAAACTGTGATCAACCAATGATCTCATCTGCAGTGTCACATGTGCTCATGTTTGACATTGTCTTTTTCTGATGGAAACTCACCTTTATGAGCATTAAGCTAAAAAACAGGATGTTGCAGGCGAAGTTCTTCACAATATACAATGCAACTTTTGGTGTTTGAGATCAAAACCAGCAATTTAAACATATCTAAAAGCAAAAGAACAGTTATGAGGCATTTGATAGGCGGAGAGAAAAACCTGTAGAAAGAGTCTTGGAGCTGTCATCTCATTCAGGGGAAACAGAGCGGTACACAGGCTGTGGTGGGAGCAGCGCCACCTTTCCCCCAACACTCTCAGCTTCCCATTCCCTAAAACATTTTCTTTCTTAGCTTGGAAAATCCATCTAGCTGGTGACAGTCCGTTTTACTTGGTCAGCCTGAACCACTTGAATAAAACGTAAATATTCTATCAGTGCAGCATCACCCATCAATTATTTCATTATTCCTCATCAGGCAGGGAGATGGGGAATAGATAAGAAGGCTGACTTGATGATTGCTGCCCATTTCCTTCATGTTGCAGTTAATATCAGAGAAGAGGATGTTGGATGGCCGTTAATGTAGCTCCAGGATCAAAGTGAGGTGATGTTTAACAGGACATCATTAGGCTAGTGGAGTTAAAGGAAAAACACAATTTCTGTTTGTACAGATTGGAATTCCCTTAATTACTTTCAACTGGAAAATACTGTAAATTAAAAAAAAAAAAGTTTCCGTTGAATTTTCAGACATTTTTTTAACAGTCTTAAAGTATAAATAGTTGAAAGAGCTGGTGAAATTAGATTTTTTTCCCCCTTTTTTTTTTTATTAACTTGTGTTTTTGAGTACCCGATGCATTAGTGTCTGTGTTTAAAAAAAGGCTGTGTTACAGCACACGACAGCATTGCATGGCTTCATCGTCGCACTACAAAAAAAACTGACGAAATCAGAGAGCAAAGGATCCTGCATCACTTTGCCGTTAAAATGGTGACTTTGGAAGCTTCATTGATACTGTATGTTACCTAAAGAGGTGTTCCCCATGTGCAGACAGAAGGAAAAAAAATATTCTTTTCAAAGAGACTTTTTTTTTTTCTTTACTTTTAGCCTTTTCTTGTATTTGTTTCTGTACCATAACTGTCAATGTTTTTCTTTTTTTTGTGCATAAAATGCATAAGGGTTTTGGGGTGTAAATGGAATTTTATTCATATTTTGTCCAAATACCTCTTGTAATTTGTATCAGAATTCTTGTACAATTTTTATATTAAAGATTTATCAGTCACTGGCATTTTGTCATGTTTGCCTATGTAATGCAACTAAAATGTGTCGCCCAGGATTTTATTTAATCAAACCCTGTGATTTCAAAGCATTTTAATTGCTCCAAGATAAAGATAAAAAAAAGATCCATGGGGAAAAGGCTATCTTGACCAATTAGTTGACGATTAGATTAATAGAGTTATTAAAAGATGTTGGGGCATGAGAAGATGGTGCTGCGGTTAGTAAATTACTACCTGAAGGAGGTGAAATCCCTTTGTCCGATCATAGGGTGGAATTTAATTAAAAGGAGCTGATGTCAGAGTACAAGTTTAAAAGGAAAATGAAAATATTTACAGGATTTGACTTAAAAATCCTAATACTAGACAAAGATAATATATTTTATTTGGGGAAAATCAAACAAAAATACAATCTTTTAAAATCAAATTCAATTTAAAAAATTGATAAATCATAAAGGATCTTTGGAAAAGAGCAGGAATGTCATATTTTTAGAGAACCTCAAGACTGTTACTGCTGTAAATGAAGGAGTGACCTTAAGATTAGATTAGATTAGATTAGATTTAACTTTATTGTCATTACACAGGTACAGGTACAAGGCAACAAAATGCAGTTTAGGACTAACCAGAAGTGCATTAGCAGCAAGTGCAGGATAAATAATGGTTCCATAAATACAGGACATGGGTTTCTACTGAATGAGTATAGAAATGAATACCATTATAAATAATGAATATAATATATAGATCACTAGTGTTATGAACTAAATTTACAGCTGGATATGTACCGAATATAATATACAGGTGGATATTATTATAAAAAAGGGTTTTTATAGTTATGTACAATAGCAATAGCACTTAAGCTTATTGTTGTTAAATTAGACTCCAAATAAAGTCCAGTCATTTCCTGTTTATCATCAATTGTTCAACTCTTTTCTAGTCCAGCACAATACTATTATTCTAATTGCTTAAATCCCTATGTATTCTATGTTAGATGCATGCTTTATTAAAATAAACTGCAGTTATTGAATGTTGTCAGTGGAGCCTAGCTTTGAAATGCCTGTCGTTCATTCCTACCCCACCCAGTGCAAATATATGTTTGGAATTAGGTCAGATATTATGAATCAAACCATAACATCATCTTCTAGGCTTTCCCAAATTAAATATCTAGTTTCAGCTGATCATCTTCATTTAACATCAGTGCTGGAAAAAAAAGCGGCAGTCAGTTTTCTTCCAAGACCCATTGACTGAAAAAGCGAAAGGTGAAATGGAAAAACATTAGATTTTAAATGTCGTGGAAAGGATGCACTTTATTTTTCTTAGGAACATTAAACTTTTATATTTTTCTGGGATATGATAACGGTCAGAATTTTTTTTAATTGACTAATAGAGCAATAAAAAGAATAAATAAGAGGGTGACGCCTGGTTTCTTATAAAAACTCATCTTTGGTAACACGAGGATTGGCTGAAATGGGCTACGCACACCTCTAAGACTTTTTATTGGGCCCTATTGATTTGGTTCTACACCAGTGGGGCCTGCAATGCTGGCTAATGCTATTGACGAGCCATCAGTCTTGTCCAGAAGTGTGGAGGCATGCAGCTCCTTTTCCAAGACCAACCAAGGAAGGAGAGAGGATGAGGAGCAAGGAAAGAGAGGGAAAACATCAATGGACAGTGATGGAGAGCAGGGAGGAGGGCAAAGATGCAAGCGCAGCAAACACACTCAGACTCCTGAGTGTGGTTTGGGAACACTAAATTAGAAAGAAGACAAAAGGGGTGAAAGAGGGAGAAACTGTAAACAGCAGCATCGATCCAACTAGAGTTGGGCAAATCAAACCATTACGGCCAGGTTCTTATGCCCCTCGGTTAAGAGAGACGGTGTGAATATCTAAACACTTCCGTGGAAAAGACAAAACTATGCAGAAGCCTGGATCCATTTACGAGCTTCTGGACACATTATTGCATTGCTCTGCTTCACCTGAGAGAGAGAAAGAACAGTCTGGTTAGAAAGGGTTAACTGAAGAGAAAAGGATGAAAAAGCCTTCTGGCAACCTGGGGACAGAGGGAACGCTGAACTCATCACAAACCCCTCTCCCGGCGTCCGCCAGCACATAATGACCCCAACAAGATGGGAATCCCTTTTAATTAAAGTGAAGGGAGATCAGTTAAGCTGATGGTTGCCAACAAATATTAGGGGAAATAGAATGTTTAATGGTCTGTGCACTTATCGTAGGCTATTTTCCACACCCAGGCCTGGACTGATAAACAGGACAGGACCTTGTTAATCAACCTTACAACCTTTAAAGCCCCAGATAAGAGAATAATTCGGGATCTTTGTAAATTAGCTTGAGATGTGGCTAAGACGGTGGCCCCTCTGTGTGCTCTGGGCCAGACTGTTGAGGAGGGAGGAGAATTTCTATCAGAGTAACAGCATTGAAGAAGTTTATGGGGGAAAAGTATTTTTTTTTTTTACAGGGAATAGTCGATTTTTTTTTTTTTACAGATTTTATTCTCCTTGGGTTTGACCCTCCTGCTGCAGTCTTATCTGTGACACAGAAGAGTCACCTGCTTTCCTTGGAATAATCTAAACAGAAACACGGCTGGCAGGATGCACCAGCGGCGTGATTGAACAGGTTAACAGATTCCTCAACCAGCTAAATCACGCACAGGTAAAGCAGAAATCTGGTTATTAGGCAGATAAAAGAAGATACAAGGTCTAAACCATAACATGGATTTTCAGAAATATTAAACTTAGTGAATTTTTGGCAACAACTTAATTTACCAGCATGTTGTGAAGAAAACATTTATAACATGTTTATTGATATGATAGCTAACTATTATGAGCAAAAGATGTACACTGTAGGACTTGGTTGAAATAATGAGCAGTTCAGCACAAAAGTTTTAAATAATCCCTTCCTCTTACTTTATTCCAAACGCTGACATTTTGGTCATCGGAATGAAGCAAAGTCTCCTTGGTTGCATTCCCTGCCTCTCAGAATTTAAGTTCTTTCCGCAGATCATCTCTCCGAGTGTAAATTTTATCATAGAGAGAGAACAACACTCTGACTTTAAGGTAAGATTCAAACTCATTGTATAAACAGCTATCCGAGCCATCTGCTGTATGAACCTTGGGAATGCTAGGTGCACAATGAAGTGACTTTTAGAAATGCAATGCTGCAGCTTTTCAAAGCCATACAGTAGTAGCCATTCAAAATGTCCCCACTTTCCTTCCTGGTGCCCCTACAACATCTAAAATATTGTTTCTGTCATGATTTGTGGACATTAAGATCTAAGGAGAAGCGTTATCTCCTGGTGAGACCCTGTAATTCAGTAAAAAGGATGGAGTCAGAGTAAAAAAATATGCACGCCCAGGAGAAGCCCAGTGGCTGGAAGTTGAAGGGGATTTTGCAGCCATTCGGCTGGCTTTTGACTGGGAAGGGCCATTTTAAATGGCTGCTACTGTACTTCGAATAACAATTAACAGCTCACACTAGGCCAGGAAATTAGATTGCTAGACCTAGACTGGATAGCTGCTTTTAGTCTGTGTTTATATCTGCAGAGATGAAAAAAACAACAGATACTCTATAACATATGACGATCTTTCTCATTTAATAGAAGGAAGGTTTTAATACCAAGGTATCATACCCCTCCCTTGCTTGCTTTTTTATTTAATCTCTATCACATATAATATACTATAAGCAGATGACTGGAGACACATTTTGTCAGAAATCTCACTACCAGTGATTTTATGAAAGCTTTGACAAACACCTTGATGATGGTGAGGTAGTCTTAAATAAATGAATAAAAAGCATGACTTAGAGATGTTTTACTGTCATAATTTAGACTGGGTTTTTGAGAAATACTTTGGTCAGCTTTAATTAGCATAACTTTAAAGGGACAATAAGTTGAAACTTCAACATTTGGGAATAATAAAGTAGCAACAACAAACTGCAATTTAGGAGAAATTAGAACATTTTCTGAGGGAATGTTTAAACAAATGATAATGTCTTTCAATATAAGCAATATTGATGACGACTTAATGACTTAAATGTGCTTATGGCACGTCAGTATCAGGCCCAGGATCTAGTAGTTCAACATATTTAACTGCAAGCTGATTTAAGATTAGCATTACAGAAGATATATATATATTTAATTTTTTAATGATGGAGATGGGTAACCATACATTTTATGCATGAAGCGATGAGAACACCTGAATTTGCTTCACCTGCAGCAGCAATCAGTTCATTAGATGAAACTTCACACTCTCTCTGGGATCTGATCATCTTTTAATGGAACTATGGAAATGGGAACAAATCGTAAACTTAAGACAAACAGTTAGCAACATTGTGGCTAAAGGCCAAAAGGGAAGTAAGCCTGTTTTTTTTTATGGCGTTACACTGTTAGTTTTATTTCACTTATTCAGAGATGTATTTTAACCATCCTTAATATTATCCACAGTTAGTTGTAAAAAATATAGAGAATTTCCTATATGTTTTTAATAAAAAAAATTTTTATTGTTTTTTTTGTGTGGATAAAATACAGTAAAAATACTGTACTACTACTAGCTAGCTATTTAGTCTTGATAAAATAAATATAGTCTCAGTTATACCTGTGCTTGTTACATTTCATATTTGAATACTATGAACACTATTGGTGGTTTATTTTATAAAGTGGTGATATTAACTCCTTGACAGTTATTGTTGCAAATATGCAACAAACCTATATATATATATATATATATATATATATATATATATATATATATATATATATATATATATATATATATATATATATATATATATATATATATATATATATATATATATATATCACATATAATGACTCATGAAAGCTTTGAGTGTGGCACAGAAAATCTAAAAATAATGCCACAATGGGACATTATTTAAATTAACACAAACACAACTCAGGCAATTTTAGCATTCTTTATTTACTCTGTAGGTTCCTCTCAGAGTGGGCACTCAGCAGGAAAAGCCATTATTGGCTGTCCTAGAAGGCG